TGAATATAATATACAAGTTTCACTTTTTAAATGGAATTACTGAAATAAATCTACTTTTTCACGATATTCTAATTTTATGACCAGCACCTGTATAACACTTACTAGTGTTGTTATCACCATGCAGTGTTGAAAGCAGTGTAGGAAATCGTCGTTTTTCATGTTCGTTACCAGGATGTATGTGAAACCATACAGAGAATGTGCAAAGACATTGAGAGAGTTTTAAAGAACAGCCATACAGAACCAAAGAGCGCTCTTTGCCGATGTCCGGTTTAATGGTACCAGGAAATCAGACCGAATCAAAAAATACAATAAGTTTTATCAAAAGCTTCACGGCATGACTCCGCCTCTTTGATTATGTCATCAGTGAAGAGGGGATCCATATCATTTTATCGAAGCTACGCCCTCAAACAATAAAAAAAATTTATCCTAATGATTCAAAATTCAAATATGTGTTGTATTTGTTACCAGGCATGTCACTATTAATATAGAATCATCAAGTTAATCAAAAGTCACATTTAACAGTCATTACAGTTCTATCATAAAATATAACACACCTTGTGTAGTGTAATTAAAATCAGTATATAACAAAAAACCCCAATAATGTCTTCAGCAGTATTCTGAAAAGCCCCACCCTCTTCCACCTCATGTCAGACAGACCAATATTTTCTCAGCAAGGAATGCTGGGTAATCTTGTAGAAATTATGTGTTTGCATGTTTATGACTATTAAAGAAGTTCGTGAGAATAAAAATTTGGTTGTTCTGGTTAGTTTTCTTGTTCAGTTTGTTCAAGTTTAAGTTTGTGTTATTGGCCATAAATTGACACCATGAGTGAGAGGTACTTCCTGGTGGGTGAAGAGTGACTCCATTTTAATTTTCTAATAACCACTGAGTAGTGTTAATGCAGCTCTACAGAGAGTTTGATATTAAGTCTGAGTGTTAAATTTATTCTCTCAGATATATGGTGTATTGACACTTTGTGGAGTCTGTTAACTTTACTAACACCACAACTTCCTTTGGTAATAATATATACTGGTGTTACTTTTAACTCCATATTTTAACACAAACACTATTCTTATGTTAATATGACACCCAGTATTATAGAATATTAAACACTTGTTGGTGTTAAACAAACAAACAAACAAATAAATAAATGGGTGTTAAAACACTTTCACATATAGACACATTGTTGGTGTTGAAATTAACACTGGCATTTTTGCTGTGTAAAAGTTTGCATGTGAACATCAGCTGTCACTCAAACCAATGAATACAAATATGAAGTTCTTCTTTCTACCTTGTATGGTTTGTTTGGTCGATGGACCCAATTTGTATGTTGCTACCTCCCAGGACGTTGTCGGACTCCAGTCACTCCAGTGGCTATTTTCTCTGTTAATAGGCTTGACTCTCACTCTGGCCTGCAAGGCACCACTTAGCTCCGAAACAGGTATCCTCAGCTCCTGATGATTCTGTGTAGGAAAGTTCTTGGACTCCTGATGATAGAAGAAAGACAATTCCACAAAGTTTTAAAATAAGTGAGTAGGTACGCAGAATAAGTTTACAGCAAGCAGGATCAATTCTGCTGTGCTAAATCATTCAGTTGGGGTCTATATAAAGTGGAACTGCAACGATTTGGTTTAAATTCCTGGTTTTTGTTGCTCCACAGGCCCAGGTTTCACCTCTGTTCTGAGGTGTGTCTGAGAGCAACTCGTTTTGGTGCTGTCACTTTAAATGCAAATAAGGCACTTCACCCATCTTAGCATTAAGCTCAGCAGTTGCCAGTTTAGCTATTAGTTACTACACCTGCAATTTCCTGATAACTGCAAATAGGAGACATTGATTTTATTATTAATACATGTGATGGATGTGTAATACTGCTTCTCAACCTCTCCACAAATTAAAAAAAAAATCTGGTAATTTAAATCTCAATGGTTTTGGTAAACACTAAAAGACTTGTAGACCTGTCAACACTTATTCTGATTTGGTTGTGGAAAACTGACRTGACTGTGCATGTGCACCCTTTGTCAACCTTAGGGCTGGGTATCACCTCGGACATGGCYAATCAATACTACTGATTCTTGATACAGTGCAGTTAGATTTATTTCAATACAATATTARTTTACACTTATTGTTCAATGCCACTGACTCAACAAAATCAGCAAAATATCATAAAATATACTATATATTTATAATTAGGAAAAAAGTGTCCAAACTTTTGCTTTTAAGGACAAAGGCGCTTCAAGAATACTACTGGCCATTTTGCTTACTCATCGATCTCACTTGCAGCATTCTGTACCAGGAATCATGCACCATTACACTGCCCCCTAATGGTTGATGTGTGGGGTATTAATATAAAAAAAAGAGGATCAATACAATATTGTTTTTAAAAATATCAATATACGTATTGATATTTCAATTTTTATGACAACACTAGTACACCTGATATATTTCTGACTGGCTAGTGCTAATTGTGTCAGGGAAACAATTCTGGTCGGGTAGCAAATAGCAATACATTTCTATTGGAAATAGCTCAAAATTATCGATCATCTATATGGTTGAAAGGGTAGGAATACAGAGTGCAGTAATGGCTCCACCGGTATTAAAACGTGGCAAAGGTCTATTCTGGGCACTCAGAAGACACAGAACATTTGTTTATGTTTATCAAAGAAGTAGAACTTCTTCTGTGTTTTTTAGGGAACATTTACAACTCTGTGCATGTCAGTACTTCTGTCCTGAGTAACAGGCTGGTGCATGTAAAGGCTCGTCATGATCTGATTAATTCATTTTGTAACCATGAAAGTGATACATTCAGATTATACCTTATTCCTAATTCCTTATTATTATTAGAATATATTATTGAGAATGTACATATAGCTACTGAGAGATATGCTTCTTTGTATAGAAAACCACTCTCACTAGGACAGCTTTGGGTCACTGAAGAAGAAATAAGATCATTTTTTAACGCATTATACCTTTATTTAAACAGGCAAATCTCACTGAGATCACAGATCTCTTTTTCAAGGGAGGCAACCTATTGTACATGTTTTTAGGGTGTGGAGGAAACCGGAGTACCCGGAGAAAACCCATGCAAGAAAATTCTGCACAGAAAGACCCCAGGTCCAAACCAGGGATCAAACCCAGGACCGTCTTGCTGTGAGGCGTAGGTGCTAACCACTGAGCTGTCGTGCTGCCATGACTTGTAAAAGACTTGAAGTCTAAATACACTCAGGAACCTTTTTTTATTTACTTTTTTTACATGTTCAGATCAAGACTTGGGAATCATGCGCTCACCCACAGCGTCCCACTCAAACAGAAGCCTCACCCTCCTCCCAGGACCCACAGATTTCCTGACACACCTTTAGAGTCTTATGCTGCAATTTGATCACGGGTCTACAACCCACAAAACAAGAAAAAGACTGAAGACTCAGACCATGTCCTCCCCAAGGGACTTTACTTATATCTTTTAATTTATGCCCCCCTTGCACCAATGCAAAAGGCGTTTATTTGTGGGTTGAGAAAAGTTCTGGAGAATCTGTTCTTGGGATCATGTGAGAAAGTCGGCCTTTCAAGATCATATGGTAGTTCACTTTTCACCTTAGGGTTTAAATCTGAAAAGTTGATAGCTGCTCCCAACTGGACAAAGAAGGTAATTTTGCGAGTATTATTTTCTATAATTTCTTTGGTGCTTTCAACTCTGTTCAATCTAGAAGTTTACTGGTCAAATGGACAGGAGTACCTCAGGGCTTTGTACTTGCCTCCTTTCTTTTTACTTTGTAAACTTCAGACTTCCAGTACAACCCAGAGTCCCATTGTCTGCATTAATACTCAGACACTGTCGTAGCTGTGGGATGTGTAGGATCAATCACTTCATATTCATCAAAGGCAAGTCAAAGGTGTTCAGTTAAGGCTTTAACTGGAATATTGGCATAGTCTTCGTTTTATTCCCATCCTGGTTTATGCTTTTATTTTGCGGGTTTTTTTTTTTTAGACCCTTGTCGTGTTGCTTGAACCTCGTCCATGTGTTTAGCTTTTCATGTCATTCACATTTGTTCCTTCAAGTTTTTCTATAGTATTTTTGCCATCTCATCAGCCTTGTTGTTTTTTTGTTAATAAATCAGTTATTTTACCTTTGAGTTTTTGTGTTTTGTTTCTGCATTTTAGGTTCACTACTTCCACCGAACATGGCTATAAAGTTAGTTTTTTTGCCTCCCTTCCTGGCAGAGGTGATTGCTATAGTTTATTGTGGGCAACTGACACCTGGGTTTATATTTGGACAAAAGCCAGGGTGAGAAATACAACACGGGCTGTTCACACAAAAAGGCCAGAGCAGAGATTTTGAGATAAAGATGTTGCATATCTTGTGGTTTGGAGGGAAGCAGCGACTTTAAAGGATCTTATACCAAACCAATTTTAAGAATAATCAGCAGGCGGATTTCTTTTTTCTGTCTTATTATGTCAGATGCATCTTAAGAAATGGCACATCAAAACACACTGCAAAATTTAGCCATCTAAAATTAAGTTTGAAAATTCTGTATTATAGCCTGAATCTTCTCAAATTAAGTCAAATTAAGTGAACAAATCTGCCAATGCATTAAGATAACTGCAATTGGCATGACTTCTTTAAATAAGGAAAAAATTCCTGGCTAACAAGATCAGTGATCTAACACATTCTGCACTTGATTAGTACGCCAGTCTCAAAACAAGATTAAAAATACTTTTAGACTGGATACAAGATTGTAAGACTTGGTTAGATGGACAGTTTTTGCAGTGCACTGCCAGATGGGACACAACTTCTGAACAAGAGGACACAATTCTCAGAGCAGATGGAAGCTGTGGTAAATACAAAACAAGATGCAGGAAAAGCTGTACAGAATTTAAAAAAAATCTTTATGTCCTTTAAAGTTAATCACTCCTGAACACATCTTGTGTGACAGTTTGTTTCCTTTATGTCTTTTCTGACTTCTCAGCTTTGAGGGTAAGTTGTTCTCTCAGAAATATCCATCTTCAGGGATTGCCACAGCAAGTTAAGTGAGCAACTTGGTAATTATTTTCTGCCAGATGCAACATGGGTTCAAACCTGCAGCCTCAGGTTTAGAAAACCACAACACTGACCACCGGGCTACTTCAAGCAGCTTATCTTTCCGTAAGGAGGCGAAATGGGCCGACTCTGTGCCACAAACTGACAGATTGTAAGGAAATAAAGAATACTGCACATTATTTATTTTAATGTATAACCCTGCACAGCTTTGAGACATTAAACAATCTGCTGCTCACTTCAGTACACAAGATAAGTTTTAAATAAAGAAACATTTGATATTGTGCTCTTTTTTTCATAAAATAATGATGCACAATACATTTTCCATTCAGGGATCAACAAAGAAAGATTTAGTGTGTAACAAAACACTGTCTATCTTGACAGTTTGTATTTAAGTTAATAAAACATGGTAAATATTATAATGTTGAGATCTTAAAAAATGTTGAATCGTGCTCACCGCCCATGACTGGATGTTCTGTTTGACCTGAACCTGGAACTCAAACTCTGATCTGAAAAGGTAAGAGACGGGTTCTCCCAGACTCCACCATATCTGYGTGTCGTTGACGGTGATGCTGACACGAGGAGCGCCTGGAGGATGCATTTTAACTGCAGACAAACACACACAGATACTTTATAACAAAAGTGCATGAAATGGCTTTAGAATATTAAGTTAAAAGTTGCACAAGATTGATTAAAATAGACATTTTATAGAAATAAAAAATACATATTATATATAATAT